ATAACCCGACCATGGAATGTATCGAATTTAAAGAAATACTGCTACTAAATCGGATTTCAGTCTTTATGGTTGTATCAACATGAGCCAAGCGCTCGGTCGTTAGGGGTACAGTCCCGAGGGGTGTAAGACTCCACCTTCAGAGCAATGCCTTCAAAATTATTAATACGAGTCAAGCGCTCGGTCGTTAGGGGTACGGCCCCGAGGGGTGTAAGACTCCACCTTTGGAGCAATGCCTTCAAAATTAGTAACACAAGCCAAACACTCGATCGTTAGGGGTACAGTCCCGAGGGGTGTAAGACTCCACCTTTGGAGCAATGCCTTCAAAATTATTAACACGATCCAAGCGCTCGGTCGTTAGGGGTATGGCCCCGAGGGGTGTAAGACCACCTTTGGAGCAATGCCTTCAAAATTATTAACACAAGTTCAGCGCTCGGTCGTTAGGGATGCAGCCCCGAGGGGTGTAAGACTCCATCCAGGGAGTAACACCTTCATATTATAAACGAGCCGAGCAATCGCCTAATGTATGCACTCAATCCCGAGGGATGTATGGTCTCGGATGTTATATACTCGGTCCCGAGGGGTTCAAAGACCCAGAAGTAAGTTTAACGCGTTTATTAGGAATTTCTCTTATAGATTCGATGTGAAGCCTTGCTACTTTAGAAGGTTATTATTGACATAACATCAAAGGCCATTTCCTAGAAACAAAGTAACATGAGGCAGGAAAGAAAGAATACTTATAGAAAGACAAGGTTTCATTACATTCAAAAAGGGGCTCTACATCCCCAAGCATACAAACAGTTACCAAATTTTGTACAAAGTAGAGCCAAAGTTACAAAACAAACATGGGACATAGAAGTTGCTAAGACCAACAGCTGCTAAAGGCCCTTGGCACATTCCTCCCCAACTTCTCCCCCTCCGAGGCCTCCACGCCGCCTTTGTAGTTCATCTCCAACCCCTAATATCTCGTCTAGCTTAATGTCATGCACTCTAGTAATGACTGGGGACGGAGGAGGGGGAAGATCATCTGCTGCCTCGGCGGGTGGCAAAGACGGAAGAGCAAGAGAAGGCTGGTCAGAACCTTGGCACCAACTGCCCCTTCTGCCTGAACTTACTCACCTAGGTCGACTCGGACTTGTTCCTCCCTTCGAAGGTTGTGCATGGCGAACAAGTTCGAGCCTACCTCGACGTGGTAGGCATGAAGGGCGGCGTCCCAACCTTCTTTGAAAGCCTTCTTCTTGGCTTCCTCGAAAGCAGAGACCATTTGGTCCTAAGTGACATTCCGACTGCAGCCTTTTCTGCTCCCCCCGCCCTCTCTGTTGTTAAGGAGTCCACCTTAGCAGTAAGATCATTTATGAAAAACTTAGACTCCTGCAGCTTGACCTCGGAGGAGGAGACTAGCAGCTTGTATTCTTCAACCTTCTTGATCATTGCAGCTTAACCCGCCTTCGTCTTTTCCAGCTCGGCGTGAAGGGCGTCTTGCTGGCGGATGAGCTCGACGATGTGTTGGGTTTGGTCACCGAGGGTCCTCTTTACCTTAAGGATGTGCTTATCCTTAGCAGCTGTGGCTCGCTCGGCATTCTTCACCGCTTGTTTATACTCCCAGAAATGCTCAATAATGGCCCCCACCTACTGGCCGGCCTGGAAAGAAAAGGGATGTCAGAAACGACCAAAATTGTGCAAGGAATGCTCAGGGAGGCATTGTACTTACCACCAAATTGCTTTGGATGGTGCTCATCAGAAGCCGATTTTCTGAATAGCCTTTGTACACGGCCATATCGACTTCAAACTGAAAAGTCTCCACAACGACAAATGCCACCTCGAAGGACTAGAGAATGGAGTTAGCCTCCAAGATAGGTCGCCCACTCTTAGTCTCGGTTTGAGGGATCCACTCGTCGGAGACAGACGTGCCTGGGGTGTCTTGTCTCCGCTACACTCAGCGTTCTTCTGATTGCTCGGCCTCCCGGGCATGCGGGTCTCTTAGCCGATTTGCAGGAGGGGGGACTTGTTGAGATGGGGGCCTCTGCCTCGTCGGCGCTACCGAGTCCCTGGAAGGTTGTGGATATGGTGACGATGGGGGCGGTCGACGCCGAGGAGAGCTTGGTAGAAGGATGATTAGGGTCATGTTGGAAGGCCCAGCCAACCCGGCGAGCTTGACCCTCCTTGCCGCAGCGGCAGCCTCCATGGTAGCAACGGTGATCGAGGGTGGATTAAACATTTCTTCAAGCACGGGGGGCTCGGGAGAAGGATGATCATACTCTTCTTCAGAATCTTCCTCGGATTCTTCCTCTTTCGACGAAGAATGGTCTTCCCAAATAGAAGGGTTAAATGAAGGGGGAATCTGAGAGAATCGGCTATAAGATGACGTATAGCCGAGTAGGGTGTGCGCCACTCGCTCAACGGGGTCACAAGACCAGACCCTTAGGAGATCGGCGAATCGAACTTGGGACCTTAAGATTTGAGCAGCATCCTAACGATATCCTTCTGCAAAAATAGAGCCGAGATCAGTTCTATTGATAGTAAAATCAGTAAAAGTTTTGAGGGCGAAAACACGCCTTCATCCCTCGGCACTTTGGGGCAATACAATCCGACATACTCGGGCCCTTGTCCCTTCTCCTAACTGTCGCCGAGCATGATCAGATCGTCTACATACTCCTTGTCAGAGTCGGGCATGTGGGTTACCAGATACATCAAGGTATCCCGAGCCTAGAGGTAATATCTTCCCCTAGCAACTAGCCTTAGGTCATAGCAGAACCAAACTTCATCTACTCCTAGGTCGATCCCCAGTCGAGCATTTAAGGCAACTACACTCATCACAATCCTAAAGAAATTAACCTCACATTGAAGGGGAAAGAGTCTCAATTGCATCAACATTTTCAGCAACAGGGGGTGGAGAGGGAAGGTCAACCCTCCTTCCATGATGGCCTTGGTCCAGAAAGGCATCATGTCTACACTTTCCCTATCCCTCCTATGGTGGGTAGGGTTAAAAAGGAAAGTAAGGACAGGCTCATAGATGTGGTACCTAACCTTGAATGCTTGGATGTTCTCATCAGTCACTTGGGTTCTCCTCAACTTGGGGTTAGCCCTAGCCCTAATAGATGTCTCCCCCTAGTTCTATTGGTTCTAGCCATTGATGGGTTTTAAAAGGAAGAAATGTAGAAGAAATGAAGAAAAATGCTTGAGATGAGGTACTTACAGGAAGGTGATCTTGGAAAAGGGAACTCGAAGGACGAAGGAAACTCGAAGGAGAACAGAGAAACGCTTGGGGTCTGATTGCTGAAGAGAGGCTGAGGATGTAAAAGTTCTAAGAAGGCATGAGTACCTTTTATTTATACTGCTCTACAGGGGCGGAAATCGAAAAGTTGGGCCATCATGAGGGGATTTGAAAAGGGCGGCGCCAAACGTGCACGTAACCGTCACCATTAATAAGGCGTGATGTTTGAACCTCCAATCTCTTTACGCCACTTATCTTACACTGCAAAAAGAATGGAGGCTGGGGGGCAGTTGACAGGACTCTAGGTGGCTCTATAGCCTCCAGATTGACATGTGAAATAATGAAGTCGTTGTGATGCCCAAAAGGTGCCGAGGAGGTAAGCTGAGGTATAGTGACCCGGAGGAGCCGAATACGACAACTAGCATCGTATTTAATGCGATGTGACCCCTCATTTATGGCGAAATGAGTGATGGTGACAAGGCGAATAAATGTGCGCCTGTGAGCACCGGCACTCTGAGAGTCTAGGCCTACTATCATGATGGCTAGACATTAATGGCTGATACGCTGAGATGATACGATCGGCTCTCTCCGAGGAACTGTTCTCCTGAGTATTCAATGCTCAGTTGTTGATGTCAGATGCCGATCCGAGGAATGTGGATACTCGAGGGAAAGGCATAAATGCTCGGCATTTAGCCGAGCACTTGTCCCATCATCCTAGCATTTAGTAAGAGAAGACGTGAGTGGAGAACGCTCATTGCGCGAGGAATGGTGTGTCAGACATTAAATATTCAGATGGAACTAGAAGTTTTTGGCAATTATTGCTAATTCAGGTATAAATACCCCTCAGAAAGATGAACAAAGGTACGCAAACTGGAATCATAAAAAGACTGTTCATTGAGTTCGAGTCTCAAATCTTAACATTGACTTAAATTTCGGAGGGGATAAGCCGGGTGTTCACCTGACCCCCTTTTTCTGACCTTGTTGTTTCAGGTTTGCCAGCTTGGAGGTCGTTATCTCGAACTATTGCAGGAATTATCCCGTGCATGATTAATATTTTAATCAATTTATCCAAATTTGATTAAATTTTTTTAAATAGATTTGATTTTAGATACATGAAAATTCGATTTGGTATATATATATATATATAGTATATTTAATTGAGAGAAATTATTTTTGTACATAGAAATTGGGTGAGATAAAAATGAGAATAAGACTATTTGTCATTTATTTTTTCAAAATCTTTATTATGTGTTTTTTAAAAAAAATTGAAAAAAAAAATCAAAACAAACAAAAGAAAAATAAAATGCTATCAAACATCTCTTAGACAATTACAATTTTCAATTTTTGGGTGTCTTTTGAACTAAACATGTGAGATAAAGCAAATTATCATATTTAAGACCACAAAGACATGGGCAGATAAAGCAACAACAAAATCTTTTTTTTTATAAAGTATTTAATTACAACATATATATACCTCCATTAGAAATCTCCCAACCATTATTTAAAAATTGAATAAATAAACCCTCAACGGGAGGTTAGGGATTCGCCAAATGGTCATCTTCCCTATCTTTACATTTTTAAGACCACGAATTTGAACCTCTCGTGTGTCTTTCTCTATAATAGTGTCGGACAAAAAAAAACCTTCAACGGGGCCGCAATTGTGATGTTGACATAGAAAATGATGAAGAACTCCTTGACAAAGCCTTCCCGAAGTACAAATCTGACAAATAATTCCCCACATCCTCGGGGGTATATCTAACCTCAAGAGCCAAATCTCTCTCTCTTCCAATCACAAGCCTATGAGCACTATAGAACTCCCGATACACCCCAACAAGCTTTCTGGCTTTCTGGCGAGGGAAACTTTGATTTCGTCTCGGAGCTTACTATCAGGTACGACGCATACAGATTGCCTCTTGTACGCCTGATCAAACAATGAATTAAATCTCTTAAAACACTCCTTCACTTCCTCTGGTGATGTTACTACTGTCGGATCCTCCGGGAGGGAACCTACGACGCGGCTCCATGCTATCCGTTCGTAGTTCAGTGCAAACTGTTTGACTTTTGTTTCGTGCTTGGTTAACCAATCGTCGCCGAGTAAATACTTCATGTTCGACATACGGACTTTAGAAACGACGTAGTTTAAGTTTTTGGCTAAGAAGAGGTATGAGAGCGAATCGTCTTTGTAGTGCTTGGCCTTGCCGTTGAGTTTGCAGAGTAAGACGAGTATTAGCCAAGCGAATCGGAGAGAAATCGCCGGTAACGGAAAGTCTTCGAAATCGGACGTGTCGAAGTACGATTCCGGCGAAGAAGATTTCCCAAGGCAGTGGTAAATCTGCTAGAATATCCGCCAGTATATTGCTGTAATCGCCGAGGAGAGAGAGGTGGTGCATCGCATCAGTCGTTAAAGCATGAATTCCAGCTCCGGTGACCAGTGATTTTGAAGAATTCTTCTGAATCGCAGATTCGAACTCGATTAACGATGTCCTTACAGATTCGCTGAGCTTGACGAGTGATGTCAGTGCTTCAGATCGAATTTTTGAGGTTGATTCGAAGGAGAAGATGGACTTGATCTCCGGCCAGTGATTGGCAATGGCCGTGTACATGTCGAGAGTCCGGAAAACTCTTTCCGGCGATTTCTTGCTGTTTCTTGCCACATTTTCCGGGAATCCAAACAGGATTGACGCTCCTTCTTTAATTACCTCAGTATAAACTAACTCTCTGATTATTTTCGAGGATGCAAAGACGTGATCGCAAAGAATTCTCTCTCCATTGAAGAGAGTTTTAATCGCGATCCTCACAGCGTTTAACCAATTCTTGATTCTCTGCTCCAAAACCTCCCAATCCATCTTACGTAGGTGTGAAGAGCTCAATTTCTCAACTCCGAGTCTATATATGCCTTCATCAACTATCGATTTCCTTATAATTTTGTATATCTTCACGCATTCTTTACCATATCTAGACGAAATCATACATTCAGCAATTGATCTCAAATCCACCATGGCCATATTCGAAACATCTCCAACTTCTGAGATGGAATTGCCAGCTATTTTAATATAATCTTCGGGTCCAATATCACCGTCTTCATCTTCGTAGTCGGATGTGCTCGATCGAGTTGAAGCAACCGACGATCGAGCTGAGACCGACTCAAGATCCAGATAAGCTCGGTTCATTGAGAGAATCTAATTGAACTCTTTTTGGAGTCGTTTCATTGCGATTTGCATCAAGTTTTGGGCACGAACGAGCTTTTCTGAGCCGGAGTTCTCAGAGGCTAAAAAGTCATGGCCCTTTGCAAATCGTTGACGTTCTTGATGAAATCATTGGCCTCACCACGGTTCTCATAGAAGAGAGAAGTGACGTTTGCGAATGTTGAAGTATCTGGGTTCCATTTCATGATTATGGAACCGGCGACTTCTAGAGTTCGATCCATAAATGCGTCGGAGAACAAACGCCGGGGAGTTGAATTTGGAAGTTCGGTTCTGGAAGGCGAAGGGAAGTTGGAACTAGAAGGAGATCTTTTTGGGGAAAATAAAAGGTTCCTCATTCCTTTATACGGCATGGCAATGAAGAGATCAAAGCTGGTTCAATTTCTTCAAGAATCAAAATATATAGAAAGGAGAAGAACTGATCAGCTGAGATCTGCCAATGATCGATCAGGTAATTAAGCTTCTCTCCTGGTGTTTTTGTAAATATGTGCAGAATGTGGTGGTGTTGGGTTGATTCTGTGTATAATTGTGTGAGTTCTGTGACTTCTGTTGGTAGGTTTTGGGAGAGGCGTGTGATATATATAGACCATAGGGTGGAGAGATGGAGGAAAGAGGCCGCAGATAGGAAACTTGCGGCGGAAGGAGGTGGGCTTGGACTTTCTTACGCGTTGCAAGCAGCATAGTTTCGTGGCGACCAAAAAAAACAATTAATAAATTATACTTTCCAAGAAATATACATTTCATTGACAATTGGTCCATGTGGGCAAAAAAATTGTACTAAATCACTGGTAATCGTTAGCTCAACGGGTCTATTGATCCAACTAATACAATTAATTTAATACAAATTTTGGTGCACATAAAAATATTTAATAGTAAAATAGAGTAATATTACATTTATCAAATTTTTTACAAAATTTGATGTGATATAATCTTTATCATTAAATATTAATCAGTTATATTTATTTGATGACAAAAACAGTGTCACATAACTTGTAATGAAAAATTTGATAAGAAATCTTAGTCAGCATAATAATGTTGAATAAAATAATTATACTATTGCAACCTAATTTGTTTATATAATTTGTTAACTTAATCAATCGCAATCACTAAATTAGTATCAAGCATCAACAAATACTGGAATTCACTATCAATTCAATGGTTGTGTGCAATTTGATTTATAAATTATGTACAAGTAACATCGCTCTAAAAATATATATATTATTTGAACTTAAATTAGAGATTTACCTTATGCAAGTTTTGCCTTTTTGAGGAGTAAGGGTTCAAATCTTCCTTTTCTCTCTCTCTCCCCCTCCCTCTCCCTTTCCCACCCAAAATAAATAAATAAAGGAATCTAATCAACTATAACTATTAAATTAAAAGTAGACGCTATCTAACCATATAACACATAACTAAACTACTGGTTGTATTGAATTAAATTTCTGTAAAACATTGCTCCAAGAAAGCACTGTCAAATTTTCCTATAAATAGCATAGAGTTGATACAAAGTTAATGAATATTGGTTAAATTTTAGTAAGAATAAATAATAAACTGGTTAACACAATAAATTTATTTAATAATAGTATTGATACAAAGACAGTTAAACACGAATTATATAGAATCGATTTGATACAATACAAATTCAACTACATACTTGTAAATAAATTAGATATAAGTTGTTATGACATAATTTATGTAATTAAAAAAATACGATATAAAATGATTATTGGGTAATTCGATCTAAGACATGAAACACACAAAGGGTGGTTGAATGTATTGTTGGTGCTTATGTAATTATGGGTCGAGGGTAATGGGTTCACTCAATATACTTTTCTATGCACTACTGGTCAGCAGTTACGTTTGCTTACATTTTAGATTACAGTAAATAGCTTTCATTGAATGTTATTTTGACGTTTTCCTATGGCTTTGTATTTAGAATTGAGTAATACTATTTGTATTTAAATTATTAACTTAATATGTTGACCTAATTTATTATTATCCTTGGATTGACTGTGAGTCCCATCAAATATTAACAATCTAATTCAATAATCTTTGCTTTTCATAATTTGATTGTTTATGTTTGAAATTTTCTCCATCACAAATTTAGAGTATGTAAATTTTAATTTTATATAAGTTTAGAGTATGTAAATTTTTATTTGTTATAGAGTGTTTAAATTTACGCCGATTTTTCACTCAAATTCGGATATTAGTCATTATAGTCCGAACGAGTTTGGAACGTGTCCTTTGAAAAACAAGGGTGACTGACCTTAGAAGGCATAAAAAATATTGAACTTAAAACCTCTAACTTTACTCAAGATAAAAAATTTAATAAGCATTATATTGTTGCATGTCCCTCAACCTATTTTGTTGGCTTTATAATTAGACTTTGTTTATTAATTTGTGACACTGAAATAATAAGAATAAAGACAATAGTGCCAATTCATTAGTCAGAAATCTTTGGCAAGTAAAAAGGTCCCACAATATGTAAAAGCATACAATTCGTCAGCATATGTATCAGATCGTCAACAAATATTCCATCTATGAAATCAGGTATGACGAATACATTCTCAGACGCCACTTTCCCTGAATTCTTTACTCATCTATTGAACATTTTAATTTTGTTAAAGAGTATTTAGGCTTGCGTTGATTATGTTTTTGAATTTATCAACTGGCCATCGTGATTTAAGCTGGATTAGAGTATGTTCTTGAAAGGATAAGGGTGGTTATAGGGGTGCAACTTTGATGAGCCAACTCGAACGAACCCGTTTAAATAGAATTTGGGTTGAGGTTTGTAATACCTTGTCTAAGCAAAAAAAAAAAACCAACCCAAATTGAATTCGAATAATCCCCAAGATAAAACATTGGGTTACTAGGTTTAACCCGAATATATAAATCGGGCTCAACCCTAATATTAATCGGGCTCAATCTGAGCATATTTAAAAATAAATATATAAATTAATATATTCAATAGCCCAACTTACAATTAGGGTTCGAATTTCACAATCCACTTTAAAAAACTCAATTCGAATTCTAACTCGAAACCAATCCGAATTAAATAATTTGAACCCAAACCTAAACTCATATTCGAAATTGGCTTGAATTATGTAATCCGAATTTAACCTGAGCCCGCTCGAATTTAACCTGGGCAGTACTTGACTTGAGTACCTCGGGTTAAAGTCAGGTTAAGGTTGAAGATTATATATTTTGGATCGGACTAGGAGTGACCCCTCAAGTTGCCCAATTCGTCCGAGTTGCATCCAAGGTGGTTAGCCCCTAAAGAGTACGAGAAAAGATTAAACTTCCTATGTTACTAAAAGGCAAGCACTAAACCAACACTAAAATATTATTATCATGAACTTATATATTTAAATAACTTGAAATGATAGCAAATCTTATTAATAGGACTTCGTATCTTCTTAATTTCTTATTGACAACATAAAAAAGGTCATTGCTAGCATCATCATCATCTTTTCTAACCATCCATGGATTTGACATTCTGATTTTTTTGAATTTGCTTCTCCTTTTTTTTTTTGTTTTGAATGAATAAAAGGATCTTTTACTTTTCATTTTCGTGTATGGTGGCAATCTTACGTTGAAAAAAGATTAAAAAAAAGTGAATCAAAACAAAACATTGTTCTTCAAGTGGCATGTCATGTCTTATTTTAATATTATTGTTGCAGGGGTGTAGGAATTTAGTGTAGGGGAATGTCTTTTAAATCTTTAAAAAATATATGAACACTTATACAATTTATGAGAAACTATTTGTGATCTTGACCCAAATAAAAAAAGATTATTTGTGACAAGTAACATTATGGTCAAAGGGAATTTTCAAATCTAAGCAAACAATAATTCCTATGCATCTCTTGTAGATCCATAATTAATTTTACATGAAGTAAAGTGATCAATACACTCTTGCATTAGATGAACCACATTGATCATCTCCATCTTAAAAAGGGCGGTTCAACACAAAATAAGGCTTAAAGTAAAAATTTAAATGAGGCTTTATTAATTTCTAAAATATTATTTATATTATTATCATTTGAGAAATGAAAATATTTATTATATTTTTGTATTTAAGTTTTGTTAACATATTTTTTCAATAAGTAGTATAATTAATTTGAACAAAGCATAATACTTGATACAATAATAAGAGAGAATTTTACTAAATTTTTTTTAATGTCATTAATTAAAAGAAATAAAATCATAATTAATAAAACATAAGCTAATATCAGAGACTCAAATGATATTTTATGTTGTCGTTAACAACATAATAAATACATGCTCAACAAATTTAAATAATATCTAAAAAACTCTAAATTTTATTTTTTTTGAGTACTAAAATAAAATTGAACTAAATAATATATATTTAAAAATTTTATTTAAACATTAGATGAAATTAAACCTCAATAAAATGGGGTCCTAATCATTCGGGAGTCTAAAGCGACAACTTTCGGCCTTGATCTTAAATGAATTTGGATTGCATATGAAACTGTTTAAACCTAAAATTGAAATTGAAAAATTTGTCTAAAATCTAATAAAATTCCATTATGATACAATGTTAAAAGATGCCAATGAGTATTCTATAAGACTCCTACATTAATTTGGAAGGTTATACTAGAATAGACATGCTCTCAAATGCTCCAATAAAATGTGAATATGTAAACTCGTGACCCTTGCACACTGATAATTTCTTGGAAAGTTAATTTGTATGGGATACCCTTTCACGCATCGACTTGATTACGGTACGGAAGTAATAATTTTAAACACGTATCTTTAAATTTTATCGCTTTAATTGATATTTTAATAATTTTTGTGAGTTATTTTACAACTAAAAAATTTATCGCTTTTGTGAGTGATTTATCACTTTTATGAATATTTTTACTATATTACATTTTTAATAACTATTTTTATCAATTGTTTTTAGTACAAAAAAATTTATTACATTTGTAGATATTTTTATTACATTTATGAGTATTTCTATCACATTTTTTTGATGTTTTTATCACTGTTGTGATAACTATTTTTACAATTTTTTAGGGTACCTCAACAATTGTAAATAAAAAAACCCACAAATGTGGTTAATGAGGTATGGTGCAGAAATTGTTTTTCGGTACCATTGTCAACTCCTTCACATGTATTAATTAAACTTACATTTGAATTGACAATTCGCCTTAATCCATTAGTTGTGAGTGATTTGATTAACAAATTAGGTCCAAGTAGCATCGCTCCATAAAAAAAATACTATTTAAACTTAATTTAAAATTTTAATATAAGGGAGCTAATCAACTATAACTACTAGATTGAAAGTAAGCTCTCTATAATATTGAAACTCATAATTAATAATTGTATTGCTCCAAGAAAACATTGTCAATTCTTCTTGTTTGTAGCCTGGAATCTATAAAAAGTTAATAAATATAGGTCAAATTTTAGTGAGGAATAATTAATAAACTGGTTAACATAATGAATTTATTTAATAATAGTATTGACACAAACTCAGTTAAACACAATTTATACAGAACTGATTTGATACAATACAAGTTTAACTGTATACTTATAAATAAATTGGATATAAGTTAAAC